CTTTGAAAGGTTCGAATTCGTGATTTGATGTCACAGTCCTGGCGCGTTTCAACCCTTGGGATATTTTACTATAATAGGGCGTGTCTACATCGCGCGTTAAAATTTGCATATAACATTAGCGCGTAACAAAGTTGTGATAAAGGAAAGAGCGGTATGAACAAGGATCAGTGATTACTTGAAATCGATACCAGGAAGGGGGGGGGGGGTAAAAGAAAAGTTATATAACACTTTATTATTTAATAATTTATTAAAATACATAAGTTTGTCCAACTCCCTGTGGTTCTAGCGTGCGTTTGGCAACATTCCTAAAGTGGAACACTGGTGGAGATATTGGATATCGTCGTGTGGAAACGGATGAGGGTCAAACATTTGTAGTCGAAGTATGGTGTAACCTCTGTGCCAAATATATGCAGACAATTCAGGCTGATGTAACCATCAATGGGCAAGCCAAAAAAGACCTGATTTACATTAATGGGACAAATAGCGTGACAAAACATAATGTCTCTAGACATTTGTCATCAGTCAATAACATTGATCCTGATTAAAATGCGAGATTGACTGTGTGTGACACATGGTTCAATTTCAAAGTGAGTTGTGTGATTTAAAAATAAATAAATATAAAAGATGACAACATGTCTGTAGTATTTTATTTCCATAATAATTTATTCATTATAATTAGTCATAGACAGTTATAGTTAACTAAAACACCCTGGGTCCACCCTTATTGCAAATCATATAATTTTCTAAAATCACTCGCCTCACTGCTTTCAGGCGAGAAATTTGTAATCCCATAACTCGCCTCAGTGCTTTTAGGAGAGCAATTTTTCACTCACCATCCATTTTCAAAAGGCAAGCACTGTTAAGTATAGAAAATCTACTGTTAATGCCCTTCGGGTCAGTTATAATAATGCTTTTCGTAAACTGTTGGGGTACGCCCGTGACTGTAGCACTATGTTCATTGAAAACCATACAAACACATTTACCGGTTTATATAGAAAGCTAATTTATGCTTTTATGGATCGACTACGATCATCAACCAATACGCTTATATGTGCCTTGCTCAATATTGATGTGAGATGGAAGTCTACTTTAGTGCAGCATTGGACAAAGGCTTACAATTGAAGAAGATGAATGTAATAATAATGGCAGTATATTACAAAACTTTTACAAATATTTTAATTTTAGAACAAGATTGTGATGTGTAAACAGCATTCATGATGAAGTGATTAAACACACATCAATATGAGGACAACTACCAGTAGTAACTCACGGATGATCATTTAATTACAAGTTTCTGAGCATATGCAGGTTAAAAATGTAATTGGTGATGATGAGTTGTTTACCTAAATACATAATTTTTAGCTATCCTTCATTCATGAATAACTCCTCTTTTCCATTATCATACATAATATAAAATTACTCTGATGAATAACTCTAAATAATCCAGTTTAGCCTTGTTACCATAGATTTCATGTCAAATTGGAACTGCCTTATGATTAATATTCAGCATTTTGAGGAATTCTAAATCTAACCCGAATATTTAATTATTTCCTCTAATTTGTTTCAAGCGTCAATTTCTCAGATCATCAAACTTCCGACCCAAATTTTAAAACACACACCTAACATCTTATGGCTTGTAATCACTTTAGCACAATTGGTTTTTATTTGCAGAATAATTAGAAACTGCCACCTAACCTCAGGATTTCTCATATTTTAGACTTTTTCAAATCCTTAAAAAGTTGTAATATATCACATATATAGTACATACATAATATACAAGACTCCAGGCAAGGGTTTCATCATAATTGTGAACAGATACAAATATTAGACAAATATATTTTTATTCATTGACCATGGCTATAACTGTTTGCATAGCGTTGAGACATTGCATAGCATCTTGCTGTTCATCAGTTGGATTATACGACATAGATTTTACGTTACTGTATGCCTCCATCAAATTAGGTCCAACAGCTCCATTCTTCATGCTTACTTTAGCCTGAACACAAAATAACCAAGTACAGTTATGAAATTTATATATTAACAAGCCTGCTGTACTAGGAGTTTTTCTGAAAAATATTTATAGACACAATTATATAAGGTAATTTTTCAAACTAATAAATAAACATCTGATTATTCAAGATGTGTATCTTGTTTGAATACACAGAATATTGTGGTATAAGTATGAATTATAACATGTTATCAATAGCTTGATTTGACACTACACTACACTGCATTGCATTGCATTGCAGTGTCAATAAACATGTTTATGTCATATACATGTATACATATGTAAAGTAATACTCAGTGATATGGAAACTGCCTCCTTGTGTTGTCATTTGAATATTCTTTTGTTTTTGTTGCTCATATAATTAAAATGTTCTCTTCAAGTTTAGTACATATTGAAATAACGTTTGTAATTTTTTGTGGTACAGCTCTTATGTTAAATCGTGTAACCATCTGAATGGTTTTGAACATTTTTGATCTTCATTATCCAATTTCAAAACGACTTCATAAAATACTAGTACAGTGTTTCACAATGTACACATTACCAGTATCTCAGAATGATAAGGGAGATTGCAAATGCATATATATAATTGCTAATTTTGATTCATTAAATGAAATGGTAATAATGTTAGACAAATTAGCTTATTTATTGTTTCTCTATTTATTGTTTGCCATACTGACAGATTGTTACCACATAGATTGCTGAAACCTACACAGACATATCAAAATCAACTCAGTTCTAGTCCTGAGAGATGACTGTTTTGAAATCTGGCGGCCCAGGCAATGTAAAGCTACACTGTGAATTTTAATTTTTTTTACTGACATTCAATTTAAATACATATCAATTGAATCAAATTACTAATTTGACAGTAATTGCAATAGTACTCATGTTAGTTGTATTTAGACACAGCAACAGTTCTATGCACACATCTGGATTGGAGTAACTCACTGTACAAAGAACAAGTCATTGAAAATGACACAGTCCCCGTTAAATTTTTGAAAGTTCTCTTTGTGCTCGTCATATTAAAGCGGAGGGGTTGTCGTGAACGTGTCCTTGAAACTAGAGTTCCAAGTGGCGTATACAACAGATTGTTTATTTACATCAAAACGCGTGTTCCGTGTAGTAGTAATATGGCCAAAAATAAAAACAGCCGTTATTCGTCCATCTTTGATCAGATTATGAAAAACACTGATATGTATGATGTATGTGCCAAATAAGAATGAAAATGGTACATAAATTGTGGAAATATAGTAGTAAGGCCAAAAAGTCAGATGGCTGTCAATCGGCCATCCTTGACCAGATTTTGAAACAAATTGTCATGGACATGCATCCTAACATATATAAAGTACATGTATGTGCCAAATTTGAATGAAAACTGACAGAGCACGTCCAAGATACTGCATAAAAAAACAAAAGCAAGATGCCTGCCAGTCGACCATCTTTGATCCAATTGCGAAATAAATCACCATGGACATGTATCCTAACATGTATAATGTATGTACCAAGTTTGAATGACAACTCACAAAGCATGTCCAAAAACAACATTTTCAAAAATCAAGATGGCTGCCAGTCGGCCATTTTGAATCGAATAGCTAAACCACTGCATGTGCATATGTCCCACATAAGGTACTAGGCACATGCAAAGAATGAACGGAATCGGTCCATAGGATTCTGAAATATGACTCTGGACAGACTGACGTAGGGACGGACGGACACAAGGACGGACGGACGGACGGACGGACACAAGGACGGACAACATTTTCAAAAAACAAGATCGTGCAAGTCGGCCATCTTTGATCCAATTGTGAAATAAATCGTCATGGACATGTATCCTAACATGTATAATCTATGTACCAAGTTTGAATGAAAACTGACGAAGCATGTCCAAAATCAAACATTTTCAAAAAACAAGATGGCTGCCAGTCGGCCATTTTGAATCGAATCGCTAAACCACTGCATGTACATATGTCCCACATAAAGTACGAGACACATGCAAAGAATGAATGGAATCGGTCCAAGGGATTTTGAGATATGACTCTGGACGGACACACCAATGCACGGGCGGACGGAGACCGAATTATAAGTCCCTGTTTTAAGACTTTGTCCGAACGGGGACTAATAAAGCAGAGTGCAATCAGTCTTGACACTCTGGTTACCCCAGGAAAAAGATCAAGGATACTATACATTATATTTGTTGAAATACTTACCTTCTGACTGTTGTACACTAATGCCCATAATGCTGTTACTGCTATGTACTTTGAATGCATATTAGTGCCATTTACAACATCCAACAAATAAGGAAGTAGTTTATCTGCAAATATAAGCCAAAAAACTCATAAGTAAGGTAAGCAATTCACTGATATCTTGTCAAGAATGCATTCTGGGAATGAAATGTTCACTGTTATTTGCAAAATTCTGTATGTTGACAAAATTACAGTATGTCATTATCAAACGGCAAAAAGAATATTAATATTAATTTCAATGGCAACTCTGATGATATTCTTAACTCTAGTATCATACTACTGTTTGGCAGGTGACTAGCAATACCAACATTCTCCACACTTTTTTATTTTACAGCAGTTGTTCATGTTTTTGGAAAATAATTTCTGTTTAGATTTTGAAATTATCAACAGGATCACAATGTGTCACACTTACCATTAGATAGAAGCTTGGGTTTACTTGTAGCATGCAAACATAGATTACGTAGTATGAGCAGAGCTGCCATTTGCACAGCTTGGTAGGAACACTGACCATAATCTAATAGCAAATCTAAACATTCTGTGGGAATAAGAGTTTTCTTTTTAAAAATATAGTGCATGTATTGATATATTTCAGTATTTTCCAATCTTACCTAGTAAACCATATTGTGTGCACTAAGGAATTATGCAATCAATAAATTAATATTCATCGCATCATGCCAGGCTTGATGCGAGTCCCATGCAACATATCTAAAAACATTGTTCATTTACACAAAATTTGAACATGCAAAATACTATGAGAGAGAGTAAATTTACACCCACAAAACTAAATACAAGAACCACTGGTATACTGACTATGAACGAGCAACAACCAAATGCAAATAGCATTCAAGTCTTGTAGAATCAACCAATCAAAACAAGTGTTACATACTGATCTACAGTAGACATACCCTAATTGGTTGATAGATTTTGTCAGAAACATGATTGACATACTAGGTAATTGGTCAGACGTGATGTAAAATGGCAGCTATATAACAAAACTTCCAGTCAACACTAATATTATGATCACCCCAAAAAAAAAACACTGAATAGGAGTAGAGGCTATTCTTGGGTAGCCAACATCTGGGCATTTTCACTGTCTGGCAACCATACCTGGTGAAAACAACGATCGAAAACCCTAAAAAACTGTACTTTTGGCTAGTTGTTGAAACTCTGTGTAACAAGATTACCCATACACGTGCAACATATAGAAATTTGGTTGTTCAGAATTGCCTCACAGTTGAGTTAGTGCTGTTTTCTTGATTTCAGCTGATTTTATCAGCTCCTCGATCAGTGTTCCATAGCATTTTATGAAGAGGCATAGATATACATGGTACAGTGCACGTCTTAGCAACACAGAACATTCTGTGATGTAGCTCCACCCTCAAGAATATTGTGAAAGCACTCAGGGATACAGAAGATACAACCTTTACATGTATAATAAAACCTGTGTAAACAGACCATCTGGTATCTTATATGAGTAGGTGTCTGGCCAAGGGACTGGAAAAGATGTTTAGATCAGTTTGCAATTTATACATGGTTTGACATGATACCGAATTCTGCCGTAAGTTCGCCCATCCGAAAAATCGCCCTGGGGTTCAAATTTTCAAAAAATTATCATAAAATATTTTTTTGGGGGCATATATTTTCATTGAAAAATCCATCTATGCCGATTTTCAACACCAGCAGTTGGACCACCCAAAACGAAAGAAATTATTGCAGAAGCTAATCTAAAATTGTATACATTTTTTTCTAGCTGGATTAAAAAGTAGACCACGTATCTTTCTCCAAAAAAAATCACATTAACGAACCTTGTGCGCCAAATACAATTATTTTGTTTAATTTTATTAGTAACGAAAGTATATTCTAAAAGAAGTTTCAAATAACAACGAACACAACTGCATTGCTTAGTAGCGAATGATTGTGGTAGCGCAATCCGGTCATGCTGCGTTTTACAATTGTTGATTATCACCTAGTAATGATTATAATAATGTACAAAAAATAAATTTGTTAAATTGTTATGAAATGCAAATAAATTTCATCGTAAGCGAATGATTCCAATCGCATTTTCAACGCTCGATTCTGTAGAAATGAATATCCGCCATGTTTTGACCTGAAATGGTGTAATAGGTCAAACCAATAATTAACCAATGAAAACGATGGATGATGCCAACATGTTCAAATTACCATAGCTCATTTAAATATGTTAATGTTATTGAACGCAGCACGGAAGAGATTTGCCGATGTTGTTGCACGATCTTTTGCCTTGGATTTTGATGGGAAAGCGGCATGATTTGTTTTTAAATAAAAAAATTAGTTGTTTACAAAAGATGAACTGAACATTTGAAGAATAATTTAACATTGTTTACAACGATAACAAGTTCATTGTCGAAACGAAGCTACCCATTCATGCTAGTCACAACAAACATCAATACTCTTGAATAGGCGTTAATGACTACGGCGAAACTTTTAGGCATCAGTAAAGATTAAAACAACACCTTAAAAAAATGACAAAAAATCGCTCTGGGCAGTTTCATGGTCCCATTTCATATTTTTAAAAACCCGAACTGCCGTTTAACGGCCCTGGGCGAATTTACAGCAGAATCCGGTATATAAGTTTGTTTAGAAAACATACTACATGACTGTGTGCAGTAAAATACCTGGTATTTTCATTATCATTTGTTGTCCCTCTGCTGAGAATGAAAGATTCACTAATAATTTTAACCACATCAGAGACACATTGAGTTTTCTTCCTTTGCCTCCTTTCTTTGGTGGTGGTACTTTGGAAAACAGCTGAAGGAAATTACTCTGTAAACAATAAATGATAAAGTTAGACACTAAAATCATACTACAGTAGTAAATGTCTGAATTCAAAAGTTCTGGCAGGATAAGGATTAAACTTCTATTATGCAGCTAATTTCACATATTACTCCAATCATAATTCCCATATTTGATGATGCATATATTGGTCAGATGATGGAGGATCACAAATTTGCATAGTAGGAATGCAACTTTAAGGAAGAATTTTTCTCAAATCACAAAATGAAATTGAAATAGTTTACATTAGATTCAGACCACCAATACTGGCAATTAGATGAAATCAGAAATTACCAATTTAGTGAGAATTTACATCATTTTTAAATGGTTTGTCCAGTTATTGTGTTTTGAGCTGGTTTTACTAGTTATACATTGTTTACAACCCTGCAATGTCTTGGCAAAGTTCACATATGGGTATATTGACCAGACAATGTTTGATACAGATATGGATGGAAGTTGGTTCCAACACACAGAAACAAAATATATAGTTTTGTTTATAGTAATATAGTTGGAACATAAACATATCAGAAGTATGGATCCAGAAGATAATGCTTGATTATAATGAGTTTTTAACATTAAAATGATTGACATATTGTATCTGATCATCAAATGAGTAGTCCATATTGAGAAATATTGCTCTGGAACAGCATTAATTAAAACAAGTCATTGAAAATGACACAGTTCCCGTTCAAATTAAACCTCATGTACCAAACTTGGTCTTGACAATATTCAAGAATATATTTACGTGGTAAAATACCAAAATGGTGCACATACCGAGTATGACAAATAAGAAAAAACAAAAGAAAATGGTTTACAGTGCACTGATCAAGTATGAGTACTTTCAAAACATTTTTCAATGCAGTGTCCAATGTCTGAAACGCAGTGACAAGGTCAAAGTCAGAAAGGCACCCAGAATGATTTGGTCTGAATGAAATGCAGCTTTTTAAATCAGCAAGCAACCTGTAAATACATACTGGAATGACTTGTTAAGATAAATTTTAAATACAATATGTCCCATATCTAGTATGTTATCAATAGTCATACTGTTAGCA